TGTCATCAATAGATTTCAAAACTAAACCTGCAAATTGAAATGGTCCTAAAAATTTATATGGATCGGAATAATTCAATTTTCATAAACTTAACTATAAGAAGGAATGTCGTTAAAATAATCTTTACAATCACAATATGTTGTTCATAGAGTTGGCTCTATGCAAACAAATTCAATTTTATTCAATTTCAATTGTACTAAATAAAAAGTTTATTATTTTCAAGAGTATATTTAAAACAAAAACAAAAACATTTATGCCAACGATGTTTAGGGACATATAGATTCGGTTCAATATAAGCATACCTTTTCATCACTTAAAAGTAGCTCGTAAGAAATCAGTTGATCTAGATTAGGTTGACGGACATTATTCCACTGTGTGACCAGCCGTGCACGTAAAGACCAACTTTGCCTTTTATTTGAGACCTCTTCAATGCAATCATATTGCACCATGGAAGAAGGAGAAATCACCATTATTTTAGTATGAGAATTTTGTGATTATGATGGGGATGTTACTACGCTTTTGTTAAATATTGGAATTTTATCAATTCAGGACCCGAAAGATACACGAATTATCAATTCGGGACCTGAAAGATGAAATGCATCGATATAGGACCTGAATGATGAAAAACTATCAATTTAGGACCTGAATGATTGAAAACTATTAATCTAGGACCTAAGTTGTCATCTTTTTTTAATTTTAAAAATTTTAAATATTATTTAGTTTTATTAAACTTAGAAACTTTTGTGAAGAAAAGTTTATCAAAAATTAGTAATGGGATTAATAAAAAATTAAATAAATCAAAACATATGAAACATTAGGTCCTAAATTGATAGTTTTCCATCATTCGGGTCCTATACTGATACGTTTCATCTTTCAGATTCTGAATTGATAATTAATCTATCTTTCGGATCCTGAAATGATAAAATTCCTTAAATAGGAAATATTTATAAGGTTTATGGAGGATGAAAGCAAGAAGAATTGTATTTCAACCGGGAAGGGTCTACGGTTAATTTGACCTGTAAGAGTTTTATTAAGAGTTCAACTCTTTTGTACTGTGATTAATTTGATCTGAGGTTATTTTGTGCATATTTTTTGTATTTTTTGTCACTTTAAATTTAATGTTTTAATGTAGTATGATTGGGTTACCGTACTAAGAGTTATATTAATAGTTTAACTCCCTTGTTCTATGATTAATTGATCTGCGGGTATTGATTGCATATTTTTTTGTGTTATTTTGTGTTACTTTAAATTTAATGTTTTAAAGTAGTAGTAGTGTAGTACGAATGGGGCACTTTAATTCAAGTAGTACGATGTGCCGTAATAAGTGGAGGGCTGAACCAATTGAAACTAATTTGTAGTGTGATAAATCTTATCTGTTCCCGTTTTTATTTGATCGTATATGTTCCAGATTAAAATGCCACATTAAATTGAATGTTTTAATAGCATAGTTATTAACCAATAAGAGGCTGCCATGTCAGCTTTTAAAAACTGAGCTTTACTATATATAACTATAGATATTCAATTATATATAATTACATACTAATATGCGTAGTGTACGATTGTAATAAGATGCATTTAGAAAAAAAAGTTTTTGTTTACTACTTGGAGTTTGGACGATGTATATATTATTTCTTGTTTGTATTAAAAGAAAAAACAGTATGATTTCCCCTTTTGGACTAATAAAATTCAAAAATTCAATCACGCGCTCATGACTGAACTGAGCTCCTCTCCTTGGGCAATACGGCAAGAAATTAAATGACGCCCCAGGAGACCGCAAGCTTAGATATGTCCCATAGCAAAATTTCGTATTGTTGTCTTTGAAGATAATTGACCATTTCTTAAAGTGGAAGCAGAATCTTGATGTGGGACATCTTAAGCAGGGCCGGTCCCGGGGTTAACAGGGGCGATCGCCCTACTCCCAAAAATATATAGAGACAAAATCAGGTCCAATTTTTTGTATCCACATATATAGACCGTTTGGCAATCCTCATTTTCGGCTTATTAGACTTATCAGTCAACTTTTTTACCAAATACGTAAATTTGCTTTCGCGCGCTGAATTGTGTAATAAGTCGAAAAAGTAAGGTATTTTAGCTATTTTTACATATAATTTTTTCTTTATTTTATTAATAAAATATATTTTAAAAATATTTTTTTCTTGTATCAGCAGAATCAGCCAATGCAGCCATTTCAGCCAGATATTCATAAATTTCAACAGAATCAGCCAGAACAGCCGATTTTCATGCTGCCAAACGGGCTCATAGTGTGAGTGTGAGTAAACTTCTTTTTTATTTTTAAGTTCAATTAATTAGGCCTAGTGAAAATAATATAACATAACTAAAATGTCTTAAACGAAGTCAAGTTTTAAAAAAGAATATACATTAATTTTAAGTAGGATCAATTGTAGTTTCTAAAGCAACACATTGAATCAATAAAAGACATATTTCTTCAATCTTCACATCTCTTTAGTTTTTAATGTTTTTTATTCCTTTTAAGAGAATATTGATGATTTTGCTTCACATTATTATGTGAAAAATGATTTAAGTAATATTTTTTTCATTTATGTAATACTTATGTTGTTACGTTTGCCCAAATATGTAATTTAAATAACAGTAAATATTTTCTTATGTAAGCTTTTTTCATATTTTAAATATGTATAGTTATGGTATATCTTGTGTATAAGCTCAATATAGTATATCTCGCTCATAGGCTCACAAATAGACATGACTCGCCCTAATCTTAAGAAGCAAGTGAGAGCATTGAAACCAAACATAGAGAGTAAGATGCAAATAGTAAATTAGTTAAAATTAAATATAAAGTGTGATTAATTAAACATAATATGAACTGTACTAAATAAATGTGATGAGTCGTGAGTAAGAATACTTTTTATTATTTCATCAGAGAAAGTACATCTTTTTTATCTCTAAATATGATTGAACACCACTCCATCCTAACTTTTTTATGTTACTGTAATGATTTAAAATTCATAATCTCTTTGTATCTCTAACCAGAATTTCTGAGTTAAGGTCCTACCTAGGGGTGGACTCGGGCCGGGCCAACCGGCCCGGAACCGGACTGGCCCGCTATTGTGCGGGCCGGACCGGCCCGCTACTGTGCGGGCCCGAACCGGCCCGGTGAACCGGTTGGTTGGCCGGTTCGGGCCACCCGGCCCGGTGGGATCTCGGTTCAGGCTCGGGCCCTTCAAAAGGTCGGCCGGTTCGGGCTCGGGCCGGGCCAATTTTTTTTTTTGAATTTTTTTTAAGTTTTTGGGTTGGGCTGGGTATTTTGGGTCATTTGAGGTGGTTAGGGTTGGTTTGGGGGTGAGGTGGGGGGGTTGGGAGTTAACTAGGAAAAGCCCAAAAAAAAAAATATAACCGAGGCCCGGCCTGGACCCGGGGGTTACCCGGGCCGGTTTCGGGCCTCCCATACCTTGAACCGAGGCCCGGCCGGTTCAAGGCCCGAACCGAGTCCATCCCTAGTCCTACCTATTATCTAGATAGATTAATTGAGTTATGAACTTGGAATCACCTGATTGAGTTGATTACATGATTCTAAGTTTATTACTTTCCACACAGTTCTAAAATCTTTACCCATATATGCAGATTGTACTTTACATGCTATTGCTATTAAGTGTATTTTCGAGTATCTACAAGGCTCCTCTGAGTATGGTCTAGTGTTGAAACCATGTCGTGGACAATCTACCATTCTTGCTCATTCTAATGCATATTGGACTAGTCACCCTGATAAAACTCATTTCTAGCTACATACTACTGGCCAGATATGCTATCTTTTTTGGGATCTAATCTTGTCTCTTAGCATGCTATGAAATAATATATCATCTCTAAATCATGTACATCAGGCCATTATATTGCATACAACATTTAGGTCCTTCATGACACAATTCATATTAGGCTCATTTTATTTGAGCTTGTCATTACAACTCGTGCCCCGGTCAAGTTAGTGTGCGACAATGTATGCTAATCTTATTCAATATGCATGCTCGCAATAATCACATGAATATTGACTACCATTTTGTTCACGAACATGTGATTCATGAAGATCTCATCGTCTCGTATGCATTCATACTCAGTTATCAGACATTTTCACGAGAGTTTTTCCACTCAACGCTTTATTTTTACGAAGCAATCTCTGTGTGACTTCCCGGCCCTAAAGCTTGAGGGGTGTAATAAGTAGTAATATAGCTTTATAATGAGTTCAATATTATTGGACTTCTTTTGTAACTCGGATTGTTCATCTATTATAGTATTATATAGGGCTACCAATATAGTAAGTCTAACATTTATCCTCACACTGGTTCAATCTGTTTTTTACATTTCAACCATTTGAATCATTATAAAAGAAGTGCAAATATATTTAAAAGCTGAAAAGGGGGTTGGAAGTTTTAAAAATATATTAAAAAAAAAGAATCAGAACCGTAAATAAATAGAGGTCCCTATCCCGGTTCTCATCTCTCCAAGGACTTGGTCAGGGATCAGAATCAAACCTTATTTGCCCCCCCCCCCCCCCCCCCCCCCCCATTTATTCCCTTGACTAAGTTGACTTCAACATGCACTAGTTTCTCGGCCTTTTGCTTTCATACGGGAAACGGTGCTCAGAGCACATCACCGAGGAATGCAAGAAGGTTTAATTACACACCAACTCCACTATGAGAGATTGAATCAGATTAATTTGAACTAAAATCTACTATGTAAGTCAATTTAATGATAGTAAATTTTTATGCAATTCTAACTGTTATATGAAAATGACACATGTAAACTTCTTTTTGAAGGATGGCAATGTATTTTATACAACAACAATAATTTTTTTAAACTAGCATTATTTAAAATTGAAAAATCCCCAATAAAACCAATGAAATAATGTCATATTCAGACCTTAAAATTAAATTAAAAATAACCTAAAAGGCTAAAAGCAATCAAATTAAAACAAACCCAAGTTAATTTAATGGGTGAATCGTTTATGTAAGTAATTCAATACCATTCAAACCAGAAAAACGAAACCTACCATCTAACTGTCCACCCCTCGTTTAGGTGATGAAACGAAAACTCTCAAAAAGCCGTTGGGAGATCCTACAATCTCACCATACTCGACAGTTCCATTCCCCGCCAAAAGCGCATGCAAACTGCACTCAGCGCGTTCTTCTCATTCATCGAAGAATGCTCTTTCCGGCCACCTATCACACCGAATCCCTAACATCACCGCATTCTCTCCGATCCGCCTGACCATATTCCTCGCCGATCGAGCTCCCTGTTCACGGGATCCAACTCTTTCGTTTCAGGAATTTCAAATCGCTATACTCGAGAAAGTAAGTTCAATGAAGTTGAAATCGAATGTTTTCATTCCTCTTTCGACTGTGTTTCCGTTAGGCATCATTTATTTATACCATTGTTCGCTGATTCCCAGTGCAGGGAGCTCCTGTTGATATCGTAGTAGGTTCCAAGGTATGGATCGAGGATCAGCCGGTTTCTTACACTGATGGAAAAGTCTCAAGTATTGATGGACAGAAAGTTGAGATCCAAACGGTTGATGGACGGAAGGTATTTCAAGCTGCTCCGCGATGTTCTGGGATGATCCTTCCTTCTTTTTCACGAGCTCTTAATATGCAGTGCTTGAATCGTATCTTTATTGTCATCTCATTGCACATTTGCTCTGGAAATGTTATTTGACACAGAATTATCACTTCCCTCACTGTAATCGCTCCAATTGATCCAGGTTGTATCAAGTTTATCAAAGGTGTATCTCCAAGATGATGATACTCCTGAATGTGGATTTGATGACATGACCAAACTCTCATATTTTCATGAACCTGGGATCTTGCATAATTTGTCAAGAAGATATCATCTAAAAAGTTTTTATGTAAGATTAGTATTTCTTAGTTTCTTTCATTTGTATTCACAATCGTGAAGAGAAATTATGAATTACTTACTGCCGAGATGGGCAGATTTGTTATAACATTGTATCATGCCCTGACATTCTGGCAGACTTATACTGGAAGTATTCTTATCGCAATTAATCCATTCCAAAAACTGCCTGACTTGTATGATGTTCATACGATGGAACAATACAAAGGAGCTTCTCGTGGAGAATTTAGTCCTCATGTATTTGCAATTGCTGACATTGCTTTCAGGTAAGTATTTATCACCTGTGATCTTTTTATTAAAATGGCATGGAACTCACTGAAGTTAAAACAGGGCAATGATCAATGAAGGCAAAAGTAACTCTATCCTGGTTAGTGGTGAAAGTGGTGCGGGTAAAACTGAAACTACCAAAATGCTCATGCGTTATCTTGCCTATCTGGGAGGACGAAAAGGTACTGGAGGGCGAAATGTAGAACAACAAGTTCTGGAGGTAAACTTGATTCCAGGCTTCCAGCATCAGTTCTTCAAACTCTTTCTGTCCATAGTGGTATTAAATGACAGCATTTGTCTGGGTAAAATCAGTTTCTATATCTTGAAGCATATGAGTAGTTTTAACTCAAGATTCCATAATCATTATGCAATACATATATTCTAATCTGCCATTCAGCTTTATAGAGAACAAAATCCTTCTTAAGCTCTTGGACTATTGTATTCCTCAATAACTTCAAGGAAGTTTTGCTCTACATTTTCCTCTTCTACTCTTATTAGCTCACTATCCATATTGAGCCAATCACTATTTTATAGTTACATGTTTTAATCTGAGTGACAGTAACTATAAGTCTATTTATGTGGGAAGGAAGGAGTACTGGTACTATCATATAATGACTTTTTAAACCCATCCATACCTAGATTAATTCTGAACGTTCATAAATTGTCTGAACCAACTTGCTACCAGTATGCCCTCAATCATATGTGCATCTTCTTATCCTGCACTCCCATCTTAGCATTCACTTTTGACTTAGAACCCTACACCTCCATCTTAAAGTTCACTTCTCAATTAGAGTTATCTTATGAGCAGTTCACTTCTTCACTACCCAAAAATATACTTTTACACTCCAAAGCTCCCTGTACTTTTCATTCAGTCATTTGCCAGTCTCATGAAGGATAAAAGCATAGACCTTGTTTGGCATTTTTTATACATTACCTCTATTCTTTTTTCTTTCTGGTGTACCAAAAAGAAGTCCACTTTTCTTTAGAACTTGATATGTAGAAGTTTAGGAACCCAGAATGTGGTGGTTGATGTCTCAGTAGTCTAGTGTAAGCAATTATCCACTCTGAGTACTTGAAAGTTGAAAGTGCTATAATGAATGGATACTTGATAATTAAAATGTGTTTTCAGAAACAAATTATCGAAAGTAGATAAGCCACACCTATGCCATGAATTGTCAAATGTTTACTATAAGATTTTAGATGGAGGCTTAAATGAAAAATGACACGCCTTCCCAACTTAGTGAAACTCTTCTCATCTTTAGTTAATGATTTAAATGCTTACAGTTCATAAAATAGGAAAGGGGTTTTAAGCTTCTAGCTTGTAGTTTCCATTTGAAAGGCTATCCTTACTGGCAATTTGATTTTAGTCTTCAACTCAACGTTTTACTAACACAATTGCAGTCAAATCCAGTTCTTGAAGCATTTGGCAATGCTAAAACTGTAAGAAATAATAATTCCAGGTCAGTTTTGTTACACTAAACTTTCAATCAGTGACTGATTCATTTGGTTATTACAAAATTAAGAAATATCAGCAGTCTCTGATTCAGCTATATTAATGCAGCCGTTTTGGGAAATTTATTGAGCTTCAATTCGACAATTATGGGAGAATATCTGGAGCAGCTATTAGAACTTATCTCCTAGAGAGATCTCGTGTTTGCCAAGTATCCGATCCTGAGCGAAACTATCATTGTTTCTACCTTCTTTGTGAAGCACCAGAAGAGGTAAACCATCTGACACCTTTCTCCTTATCATAATATCTCATATTCAGCAATTAAATTGGTTGGTAAATATATGTTAATTGACACTTTCAAATCTTAACAGGAAATTAAAAGATACAAGTTAGGGAGTCCTAAATCATTTCGTTACCTGAATCAATCAAATTGCTACAAATTGGTTGGAGTTAGTGATGCTCAGGATTATCTTGCAACAAGAAGAGCAATGGATATTGTCGGAATTAGTGAAAAAGAACAAGTATACATTCTACTATCACTTAATCTTATAAGTTTTCCTTGTATTTTGCTTCTGAAGTATGGTAGTTGTTATATTTTTCATGCTAGGAAGCAATATTTAGGGTTGTGGCAGCCATTCTGCATCTTGGGAACATTGAGTTTGCAAGGAATGGTGATACTGACTCATCAGTTCTTAAAGATGAGAAATCAAAGTTCCATCTTCAAACAACATCAGAGCTTCTAATGTACAAACAACCTTGATATTTATTTATTTATTTGTAGTTATCATTTTGTTTGAGTGAGTCGATTGACAAATTCTTTTATTCAGGTGTGACGTTAACGTACTTGAAGATGTACTATTGACGCGATCTTTGGCCATCCCTGAAGATGTTATCAAGAAATGTCTTGATCCTGAAAATGCAGCAGTTAGTAGGGATGCTTTAGCAAAAACTATATATTCTCGCTTATTTGACTGGTATCTCTGTTATTGTGATCAACTTGTTTATACCATATGCTGCATGTTACTATGATATTAAGGATGCCCATTTTATATTTATAGGTTGGTCGAAAAAATTAATAACTCTATTGGACAAGATCCAAAATCAAAGTCACTAATTGGCATTCTCGACATTTATGGTTTTGAAAGTTTTGAAAGTAACAGGTAAGTATTGATTGGATTTTAAGCTGCAACCATTATGTCTAACTGATATAGTGATATCATTTTCCATGGACTTGTAACTTACTCTTGCTGATATCTTTAGTTTTGAACAATTCTGCATTAATTATACGAATGAGAAGCTGCAACAACATTTCAACCAGGTATATATATGCTACTGCATGTCAGTCAATCTTATATATTTTGTCCCAACATACTGAATTCCTGTGATTTATTCCAGCATGTGTTCAAGTTAGAGCAGGAGGAATACAATAAGGAAGGGATTGATTGGAGCTATATAGAATTTGTTGATAACCGAGATGTTCTGGATCTTATTGAAAAGGTTTATCCATTTCATTTTAGTAATGACGTTTCAGCCTAATAAAGACACTCATGTATATATGTTGTGTATCTATGTATGTATAGTGTATATATCTATAGCATACCCGTAGAGTGTTTTTGATGACTTATAATCAAGGTGTAAGTGAATTTTATATGGAAAAAGAATGCTTTAATTTCATTTAAAGGCGTTTAGTAAGAAAAATGGGAAGAGCCTTCAAACGCTATTTTAATGCTTATTTTTTAAACATAAATTTGGTGCTTTTTCGAAAGGCATTTCAAGGGCTTCAATGAGAAAACACTTATACACAAATACAGGCATATATTTAGACTTATATCCACTAAAAAAAACACAAACACACAAAAATATGTATGTATGTACTATATGTGTATCTATGTATGTATGTATGTATATATTTATTTATTTATTTCCTTCTTTCATGACCTTCTTGTGATTGAAACATGCAATTATGAGATGTCGTCGAAGTTTGATTTTTCATATTTGTGTATGAATATTTTTATAAATTTAAGCGAGGTTCTCTGTACAAAAAGGAACCGTCAAAAAGGACCTAACATTGTACTGCTTCAGTTTGTGTTCATTCCACTTGTACAAATTAAAATTTCTGCATAAATATTTTTCTCGAATTCAATCTCTCCTTGGCATTTCCCTTTAAAAAATGGGTGCTGCAGGGCCAATGTTTTTTCATGTTGGCTGATTCTCAGTATGAATTTATTAAAGATAATCATGCATTTTAGACCTTTTTTATACCCATATTAGTCCACCAGTTGACATAAGGTTTTCATGAAATGCTATATCAGAAACCTGGAGGGATCATTGCTCTTCTTGATGAAGCATGGTATGTATGTGAACTTCAGTTTCGTGTGCATAATTGACATATTTTCTGTTTATGGTTATGTGTAAAGACTCTTGCATTGATTCTCCTTTTGTGGACTTATCCTGTGTTTCAGTATGTTTCCCAAGTCAACTCATGAAAGTTTTTCACAAAAACTTTATCAGACTTTCAGTGGTCACAAAAACTTCATCAAACCAAAACTGGCCCGTAGTGAATTCTCGATTGCTCATTATGCTGGAGAGGTACACTTACCTTTTATTGCTTCAATCAAGTATTCCAAATCGATATGTGATGCATGACTAAGAGTCTAGTTGAATTGGATTTTCATCAGGTACTATACCAGTCTGATCAATTTTTAGATAAGAATAAAGACTACATCGTTCCTGAGCATCAAGGTCTGCTATGTTCTTCTAAGTGCCCATTTGTGGCTGGACTCTTACCTCCTCTTTGTGAGGAGACAAGTAAACTTTCCAAGTTTTCATCTATTGGTTCTCGTTTTAAGGTAGTATATAAATTGTAGATATAAAGTTTTGTTAAGTTTCTGGCAGACATAATTGTATGCCAACTAAAGTGATTGCTATCAATAACTGGTTACAATTTATTGCTGAAGCTACAACTCCAACAATTGATGGACGTTCTTAATTCGACTGAACCTCATTATATCAGATGTATGAAGCCAAATAATCTCCTAAAGCCTTCCATTTTCGAGAATGCAACCATTTTGCATCAACTTCGTTGCAGCGTGAGTACCCATTGACATTTATGTAGAAATGATTTCCATCATTTTGAAGTATTTAATTACATCTGTCGTGTTACTCTTACTGCAGGGAGTTATAGAAGCAGTTAGAATTAGTTGTGCTGGCTACCCTATGCGTAAAACATTCTCTGAATTTCTTAAACGGTTTGGTATTCTTGCTCCAGAAGTGCTGGTTGGGACGTAAGTAAAGTTAATCTTCTCATCATTCAAGAATATAATTTTGCAAAAGTTATGTCTGTTTTGACTTCTTCATGGACAGCTATGAAGAAAAAGATGCCTGCAAAATGATCTTTGAAAAAATGAGGCTTCCTTGTTCTCAGGTTATCTTAATACTTCGTATGTTTTATTTTGGAACGCAGTTGAATGCTATTGGTTAAGGTTAAACTATTTGTTTGACCATATCTTATTCATACATTTGCTAGACACTACAACTATATCTGCCAGATAAACTTATTGTAGAGTTAAGGTGTGAAAAAAGAAAATGGGAATTTTTCTTTACTTTGCAAGATATTGTTTTGCTTGCACACACGCATTATTTTTTTCGTTCATGTGGTACAGTCTCTGCTTTCTTTTCTTCATGGGTACGTATGTATTTTTTTATTTATACAATTAAGTGAACTCTAAAGCTAATGCTCAAAACCCTAACTAATTGGGATCAAGGTGCCGATACGGATGATGATGATGATTTTGATCATGATATACTACACAGAGCTTGTCATTCTTTTCATTCATTATGTGCAGATTGGCAAGACAAAAGTATTTCTAAGAGCGGGTGAGATGGGTCAACTGGAGGCAATGAGGACCCATAAGCTCAGCATTGCAGCCAAGAGAATTCAAAGGAATATTAAAAGCCGTATTGAGCGGAAATACTTTCTTGATCTGCAGAAGGCTGCAATCTGTATACAGTCTTCATGCCGAGGTTCGAACTTTTTATATTAGAAATTTATCATGACACCTTTTTCTGGTTAGGAGGAGAATTATATTTTATCAGTGCTTCATTCGATGTTTAAATTTTAATGTCAAACTAGATGTCATATGCTTCCGTTTCAGCAAAACTGTGCTCTAGATTGTCCATGCTACTTGCATATTATAGAGCCTTCCGTAAAGGTGAATATAGGTGCAGTTGAGTTGTTGGAAAAAATACATATTTATTTTCTTAGTATAATATAATAATACTGAGTATCTAAAAAAGATGGTAGAAGTGTGTCATTCATTTTAGGAAGTTCAACAGAAAATAGTACCTTCTAGATGCTTTTTTATCAATTCATTTAACACAGTCAAATGATTTGATGTTTCATAAAATAATATGGTTGACAAGGCTGATAATCAGAAATAAGAAGTCACCAAACTGGCACTATAAATCTGTGATAGCTTTCACCATTTAAATTTAACTTTTACTAATCCCTGCTTTCCCCAACACTTCACAGCCACGCTTGCTTGCAAATTGTGTGAAAATATAAGAAGGGAGGCATCTTCTCTCAGAATCCAGAGAAGTTTGCGTGGACACTTTGCTAGAAAATCTTATAGGAAGCTTAAGTCCGCAGTCATTATTCTTCAGAAAAGGACACGGACATTAGCTGCATTCAAGAATTGCAGACGCAAATATCAAAATAAGTTTGCAACTATCATACAAGTTAGTTATTGATTTCATGATACGTCTGCTGGTTCATAGGTTATGATCAAAATCAGCTCCTTTACTAATTGCATATCATCTCTGCAGGCTCATTGGCGTGGTTATAGAGCCTTCTTATACTATAAGAGACTAATAAGGGCATCAATTGTAACACAGTGCTGCTGGAGAGGAAGGATTGCAAGGAAAGAGCTTGAAAGGTTGATGGTAGGATCTCACCATCTAATTAGCTTATTGATACATATATAAGAGTCTAGACAAAGAAAAGTCTAGACAACAGTTACAAAATTAATTAGAATTATCAGTTACAAAATATTTGTATTTAATATTATACTACCTCCGTTCTTAAATAAATGCAACACTTTGACTTTTACACTATTCACATGTTCTACTTTGACTACGTTTTATTTATTAATGTAATAATATTATTTTATGAAAAAAATATTGTTAAACTTGTCTCATTGTAAATTTTCATAATCTATTTTTTTAATTTTTTTACTAATACAAAATCATTTATATTAATGGTCAAAGTTGTGTCTCGGCAAGTGTGAAATGTTGACCGTTGCATTTATTTAGGAACGGAGGAAGTAATTACTAACCTACCTTATTAATCCCTAGAATGTTGTATAAATAGCAATTCATTTCATGGAATAAACCAAGTCTTTCCGTCTCAATTCCTTCTTATTCTAAATTCCTTTATGGTATCAGAGCCACTAGAGGCCTAATCGGCCTATTCTCTTCAACGAACTACTCTACCACCATTACCCTCCTCTGCCCACCTCTACCCATGGCTACTGAAGATAACAGAGGCAAAAGTCCAGAAGACGTTCATGATAACTCAACATCATCTCTCTCAGCCAATAATCCCCTAACCCCGGATGGCCTTATTATGCTCAGCCCTAACCAATTCCCAGAAAAACTAGATGGATCAAATTACCTTGTATGGAAAGACCAAGTAATAGACCTGTTGTTCGGTTCTCATCTGGATCAGTATATTGATGAAAAAATAGGTCCTCCTCCAGAAAGTGAAGCTGCCAACCTTCTGCGATGGAAGAGACAGGACCGTTTGGTGCGGCATGCTCTTGTATCTTCCTTCAGTTCCACTTGCAAACCGCTGGTTGGGTCTTTGAAGACCTCCGCCTCCGTCTGGAAAACACTGGAGCGCCTGTACGGGACCCGGTCAGCTTCCAAAATTCGAAGTCTGAAAGATCAGTTCGCCATGCTAAACAAGGGTCGCAACTTGTAGCAGAATATCTTCATCACCTTCGCACCATGGCCGGTCGACCCGTTGACGATGAAGAATTCACCATTCAAGCCCTGGAGGGTCTTCGTCCCGAGTTTGAATCCGTGGACGACTCCATCCGCACATATGAAACAAACTTTGAAGAACTCCATTCTTTACTGGTCAGATTCGAAGATAAATTACGACGGAAGGAGCTCTTGAATTCCACCGTTGTTGTTACTGTTAACGCAGCGACCGTCGAAAGAAAAGACGAAGAAGGAAGGTCGGTCGCAATGACGGCTCGCAGGGTCCAAGACCAGAGTGCGTCTATATTAGGCCCAGGTCCATCAGCCCAGCTTCAGAGTCTACCCAACAGGCCCAATAATACTCAAAATAAAAATTGTCAAAAATCAGAATCGAGGCCCACGCAACTTCTACAATTCAAATCAACGTGGAAATAGTAATCCCGGGGGCAGGAGTACCAATTTTGGGGGAAATACCAGTTCGGGCGCTGTTATATGTCAAATTTGTGGCAAACCGAATCATCTCGCTATCAATTGTTGGAACAGATTTGAACAACAAAATTATCCCCCCAGGCCAATATTGTCACGACCAGACGAAGCGGATGGTTACTAGTCTCGGGAGCAACTAATCATGTCACCAATAATTTAAACAATCTTACCCTGTCGTCCGATTATACCGGCACAGACTCCCTCATTATCGGTAACGGTAAAAGACTTGAAATTGCACAAGTTGGGAATATGACTCTCCATTCTCTCTCCTTACCTAATACTCTTTTTGTTCCTTTTATTCATACTAATTTAATTTCAATTGCCAAATTATGTCGTGACAATGATGTACTAATTGAGTTTCACCCTTCTTTTTGTCTTGTCAAGGACCGGAAAACGGGAGCAATTTTGTTACGGGGTATGAATAAAGGTGACGTCTACAACTTGCCTGATGTTCCTGTTCCCTCATCACCATGTGCCAACGTTACTACAGAATTTTCTCTAAATAAATGGCATTGTCGTCTAGGACATCCTGCCCTTCCTATCACTCAAAAGATTATTTCCTCATTAGGTATTTCCTTTAAAGATGTTAGTAAGAATTTGTCCTTGTGCGCTTCATGCGCAAGTAATAAAAGTCACAAGTTACCTTTTGCAAAATCTTCCCTTTCAAGTTTGGGTCCCCTTGATTTAATTTATACAGATGTTTGGGGTCCTTCACATATTAATTCTGTGGATGGTTTTCGTTATTATGTTATTTTTGTTGATCACTACACAAAATACATCTGGTTTTACACTATCACCCACAAGTCTGAGGTAACATCAATTTTTCATCAATTTAAGAAATTCGTAGAAAAGTTTTTTCAAAAATCTATTAAAATGGTTTATTCGGATGGAGGGGTGAATATATATCTCTAGGAAGATTCCTGGCCTCTTGTGGTATTACTCACTTACTCACTCCTCCATATACACCTGAGCATAACCGCTTCGCTGAACGCCGACATCGTCATATTGTAGAAACAAGGATCACTTTACTTCACCACTCCTCTATGCCACTAAAATATTGGTCGTATGCCTTTTTAACTGCTGTATATCTAATTAATAGGCAACCAACAACATCTCTAGGATTTTGTACTCCCTATGAAAAAAAAATTCAAAAACCTCCCAATTACACAAAACTTGCTATTTTCGGATGTCAATGTTTTCCCTGGCTCCGTCCTCATGCAGCTCATAAGTTGGAACCACGGTCCAGACCTTGTATTTTCCTTGGGTATTGTGATCAACAAAGCGCTTATCGTTGTCTTGATCCTACTACCAATCGCATCTTCATTAGTCGGCATGTGGTGTTCAATGAGTCTGTCTTCCCTTTCTCTAACAATCCAACACGAGTTACAGATCTGTCCTCTGAAATTGACAATTGGCTTCAGCCTCCGCTCTCTTATCTTCCTATCTCGGGTACATCACTAGCAAAGGCGTCTCCTACTACTCATACCCCAGAGACACAAGACTCCCTTAACCCCACTCCATTAGACCTTCATATGACTCATAACAGTCCAACCGCTTCTAACCCACCGGTCCTCATCACTTATCACCGCCGACCAAAACAAAACCCAACCGCCCCATCCTTACCTAATGCACCCAACACCACCCCCACAACCATCACTCCCACTACAAATAATCCCATGTCTACAAAAGCCTATCCACCCAAACGTACCCACCCAATGACCCTTCGTCCTCGTAAACAAGCTAATATTGTCACTCACTCATCATTACCTCATCATATTATTTCTACTTGTGCTTCTCAAGCTTTACAGGTACCTGAATGGAGGAAGGCTATGTCTGTGGAATTTGACGCCTTGGTTCAACAAGGGACATGGGAACTTGTACCTGCTCATCCTGGTCAGAACATTGTTGGTTGCAAATGGGTTTATACTGTGAAATATAAACCTGATGGTTCCTTGGATCGTTTCAAAGCTCGAGGATTGATTACTCTAAAACTTTTAGTCCAGTCATCAAGCCAGTTACTATTCGGGTTGTTCTGACCATTGCTCTTTCTCATGGTTGGCACATAAACCAACTAGATGTCAACAATGCATTCCTACGCGGGGCTCTTCAAGAGGAGGTTTACATCAAACAACCCCCTGGTTTCAATGATGGCTCTGGAAGAGTGTGTCGTCTTAGGAAATCCATCTATGGTCTCAAACAAGTGTCTTGAGTGTGGTACCAATCTCTCAGTGGATTTCTTTTATCCCTTGGTTTTCATCAATCAGTTTCTGATGCCAGCCTCTTCATCTTTTCTTCTCATCCCTCTTATATCTATGTGTTGGTATATGTGGATGATATTATTGTCACGGGCTCTACACCAGACTTGATTCATCGGACTATTGACTTGTTAGCACAGAAGTTCTCCATCAAGGATTTAGGATCGTTACATTATTTTTTGGGTATACAGGTCACCCCTGCATCCAGAGAGATGGCATTTTTCCAGAGGATCGTTACATTATTTTTCTCCGTCTGAGTTCTCATCATACATATTTTAGTATCGTTGCGGGAAATCCAGATGATCGATCCTCTACTAGTGCCTATGCCATTTTTCTCAGAGAATCACTTATTTCGTGGAAGTCATCCAAGCAACGCACAATTGCCAAATCCTCTACTGAAAAGAGTATTGGGCCCTATCCACTGCTGCATCGGAAACTCTTTGGATCGAGTCACTTCTTCATGAGCTTCGACATTCCCCTTCTTCTCCTCCAGTTCTTCTATGTGATATTAAAGGCGCTACCACCTCTTGCTACCACCTCTTCTGCCAATCCGGTATTCCATTCCCGAATGAAACATGTTGCCATTGATTTCCATTTTGTCCGTCAACGTGTGCAACGCGGCCTTCTTCGAGTCCCTTCATATTCCCTCTCATGATCAACTAGCTGACATTCTCACCAAGCCACTTTCACGACACTGATAGAATACCTGGCTTGCGGGGGCATATTGAAGAGTCTAGACAAAGAAAAGTCTAGACAACAGTTACAAAATTAATTAGAATTATCAGTTACAAAATATTTGTATTTAATATTATAATTAGTAACCTACCTTATTAATCCCTAGAATGTTGTATAAATAGCAATTCATTTCATGGAATAAACCAATTCTTTCAGTCTCAATTCCTTTAATGCATACAGCTGTTCAGATTTTCTTAGATGTGAAAATAGGCCTCGACTAGTATCAGATAACAAAGGCTGAAGTGCTACCAGACGATTCATGCTTCAATCTATTACTGTTTACAAAGCAAAAGAAAAAGATTTTTTTCCTTCCTTTTTGTTGTTCACCGCGATCCAAATTAAGAGGCTCCATCAATTTAATAGATCTATGATCTTTTTCCATGAATTGCATGTTAGTGTTACAATATTTTCATGATATTTTTCATGCAAGTGGAAAAGCTTAGGATGATTACATTTTTGGCATCTCATTTCATTACTCTTTCATAAGAGGCTTGCAACAGAAAGGGCATTTGGTGTAAAACGTTGCTGCTATGGTTTTTGCATAACTTGTAGTATTAATTTTGGAAAATCAATTGACTGTTATTTTCATACCACCAACCCCAACAAAAGATCTACATACTATGTGAAAGTAATGCAAAAAGAGGGATGTTGTGAACGTTAAGTATTCTCTTCTTTTATAAATGGTTACTGTGAGCATGAGACATAAAGTTTTCTGATTGAATACTGGAAGGCCCTGAATAGGTGCAATTGTTTTTCCTGCCTGGTATCATGGGGATATCATCAAAGCAAACGAAGCCTGTTTGAATATAACAGTGTAACTGCAAATATTTTTAGTCTCTGCAACTATAGTGCATTTTAATCAATTAATTTGTGGTGTCTACTGTTTTTATATCCCCTACACAAATCTCAAAACCACACTTTTTACGTTATTATTCCACGTGCCGGTCAAACTTGGCAATGTTATCACCCCATGTTTTGGGTGATATTTGACTTTGCACCCTATTTTCAAAACCATTAATGTATGCACCCCAATTCACTATAAAATCATTTGACTTTGCACCCCACTCCTTCACAATTTTTGGGCTAATGGGGTGCATACATTAATGATTTTAAAAATGGAGTGCAAAATCAAATATCACCCAAAACATGGGGTGCAAACTCAAATTCTCCCTATTTTTAAAACGTGGGGTTTTACATTGTTTTAACTTCATATTAGTCTCAAAAAAATTATTAAAGGATAAATAAAAAAGTTTCTAATAGATTTATGCAATCGACATTATATTTTTCTAAATAGAGTGGTCTTGGAGTTAGAGATGGACAAGAAAGAAAACACACGGCTGGAAAAAAAATATTTTGCAGGGATGTAAAACAAAATGTGTCATATTTGCGGGAACTAAAAACGTATATAATCCTTTACTAAATTAACCTTTAGTCTTGTCTCAATTCGTACTTTATTTCTTTCACTAAGATGAGCAACATATACATCGTAGATTTATATCGATTTGGCTATCGAATGCACCATATGCATATGGTAAAAACTATTTAAATTGTGATTGACAAGTGCACTGTATGCACTTGGATTATTGACCCTATTCAGATTCTATTGAATTTGATTGATAGGTTTAATTATTCAAGTAAATGAAATTAGTTGAAGTGTATAGTATGTAGCTGATGCATGTGATTGACAAAAGGGTAAATCACCTTGTTTTTGGAAATGCCTGATGACGGGTGTCTAATAACTCTAGGCTGCAAGAGGCACTGATGTGGTTAAAGAAGAAAATAATAGACTTACAACAGGTTGAACTATATGTGTGTTGGAGAGGATCTAGAGTAGTAAACATTGATTCTGCAGATGCTTCCTCTTTCCTGCCCATTGACAAAACTTATCAATCATGTGCAGACGTATTCAGGAGATGCGGAGGGTCAGAAAATATCAGTCCCTGTTGAAGATGCAGAAAAGATCAATGATCTAACTGCAGAAGTGGAAAGATTAAAGGTCAACTGACAACTATGATTCCTAAAGATTGCATTTTAACTCCATAAGCTTGTGTCAAACTATTGTAATTCCCAATAATTCTTGCAGATTCTATTGCAATCTGAAAAGCAACGTGCAGATGATTGTGAGAGGAAATGTGCAGAAGCTCTGGAATCAAGTGAAGAAAAGCGTCTAAAGTTAGAAGAGTCTGAAAGAAGAGTTCACCGACTTCAAGAATCACTAAACAGGTAGATCTTTTGATTTGGCCAGCAAGTATTTTTTATCAGCAGGTTCTATCGTCTATGATGATGCCAACCAGTATTGGTTTAATGTGTAGTTGAATGCATGCGAGTGTTTCAAAGAACATAATATTTTGAATTTGGTTGGAGTAGTCACACTTTGTATCTTTTATTGAAAGAAAGAATGTTCCATGGAACATATGACTAATACTGGATATGATCTAGTGTGCCTCAGGATGTTATGCAGCATATCAGATCAATTTTCAGAGCTAAAAGTGATATTAAGTGCCTCGTCCAGCTCAAGCTCAACTTCCAGATTAATTTCTAGATACCATCATGATGATGCTACAACTTCCTCTGATGCTGCATCCACATTCCCAGCTCCTGCTTCAACATCAGAGAACTTGTCTTTGCCTCCTGATCCTGCCTCTTTCCAGCTTATAGTTCAAGATCTTTCAGCAGCAGAAATAGCAGGTCAGCCCACTTTGCCTTGAGTCAGTTAAACATGTTGCCTGTCCTAATTAGCCTATCTCACTCCCAACCCTTATAACTAAAAATGCGAACTTATTTTTCATATTAATCTCAAGAGTTCTCCTTACTGCTTCTCAATGTTACATTAAAAAGTTGGAGTATACATCTCATTTCTCTTGATGGCTGCACTTGGCAGGATATGAAAACTGGGAAAGCGACAGAGAGGGGGCATTCGACGACTTCTTTTGATGAAAAGTTTCTTTAAACTTTTTTGCATCTTATCTGGGACCTATTGGAGTCATGTATCCGCCTCATCCAGAATTGGGCTATTTCACTCACACAGGGATCTTTTCATGCTATTCAAATTATTCTCCCAACTGAATCTACATTTGAGCATACTTGTTTGAGAAACTCCTAAACATGGACATTCCTAATCTTGGGTTCGAATCGGATATCCTTCAAGGTCTCAGCTTCTTTGTTGATGAATTCATATTGAGAAAACCACATGCAATTATCAGCATTCATGTTATATGCCATTGGCTTAATAGTTTCTATTAGGTCATTACCTGTACTGGAAATAGTTTGTACATGGAGGACCATTTGAGTCATGTTCATATTCCTCGATCTTATATGATTACATGAGCCTGCTCTCCATAAATTGTCAACCCCTTTCAGCCCTGATGATGCGATGTCATTCATTTATATTCCTCCATCCCAAACCTGCTCAAATACATGGTGTTTGAATGAAAGGCGCACAAAGAAGTTCCATTTAAACTTTAGTTCTGGCCATGCAACTCATACTATCCTTCTTATACCTTAACTTCAACTTCTCTGTTGTTTGAACGCCTCTTATTGAGATGAGAATGTTTCTTGTTAGCAATGGCTTCTCAAATCTGGGTATAAACATTGGTAGTACAAAGAAGCGTACTTGGAGCCTCTTTTACGTGCCATTTTGAGAGTATACTTTACTAAACTGCTTTCTACTACATAACAGAAGGGATGTGGGGGCTGTGCATGAAAGAAGCTCAGCACATAAGATAGGCAGCATGATTTCTGGACTTCTGGTAATGCAATCTTTTCTTTTTACTCTATTCACAATGCTTTTATCTCCTTCAATTCTTCACCACTAACATTCTTAGAAGAACATGTTTGAATATTTGACTGAGCTTCAGAATCAGAAGCATTAGACTGATCTCTGTCCATATATTGTAATGCAAAACTCAGACATTGTGAACCATCATCCTTTCTGTGATTGCATTACACATTGAGGGCATTATGTCATCCTCACCCTGAAATGACTGATTAATTACGATCATCATAACAGAAGAGTAATGGTAAATTGCTTTACTTTCAAAGTTAGTTTTACTTGGGAAATGCTGAAAAGGCTTCCAGTGCTCATCTAAAAAATATGGAGTAATTGACCCTTCAATTCACGGGGACACAGATTATGTAGGTAGCACGGAAACAGGAATGTAAAATGTGCATATGTATTAATTCATTCCTGCAAAAATAATCCTTTTAGTATGAATGAATACTAATTAACCACCAATTCCATCTAACTAGAAGTACAAGAATATATTTTAATTAATACGTAGTACTAGCAATATAAAATACGTAATGAAATGCTCCAACGGTCTAGAACTATTTTTGAGTTATTCACATGCATACTAGCATGTAAGGATTGCATTTGTAGAAGAAAACAGTCCGTAAACACATAATTGCGAGGATTAACTAAATCAGCATTGCCCATTTGTGGTAAGATTCTTCCCTTTTTAATTAGTTCTCCATTCCAGAATTCCAAATAGTCTAAAAACACATTTTTGGTATATAGGAATTGATGGAGATGCTGAACTTAACCTCATTACAAAAGAATATGAAGGAAAATAGTACTCTAAAGTATTCAGTTCTTGGATTGCCGCCATTGATGCTTGTTATATTGATGATTGTGACCATGGCAGCCAGGCAGGGAGCTATAGAAGCAGAGTTACTATTCACTGTGCTGTCTACCATGAGCATAAAAGTTCTTTTGAACTTTTTAAATTGTTCGTTCTTCCTGGTTCAGAAATTGGAAACAGGGTAAGTATAGTTATAGTCTTTATCATTTGACTATTTGAGGTTATCTTTTCAAAGTGAGTTATGTTCATGTTGTAGTGCAGTAAATATCCATGGCCTGGCTAATATTACCCGTTGTTTCTTACATTTTCATAGGCAGAAAGATTTTGAAAAAAATATTAAGTGGGGCTTGACTGCCCTTGCACTCTTGAGAGTTGCAGCACCAGAGAGAAGTCCCACTAAAGGGAGAAAGTGACAAATATTGATGGACTCGGGCCGGGTCGGGCCCAGGCCGGGCCTAGGCCCGGTCGGGCCGCCGGTTTGTTTGACATGGGCCCGGGACCGGCCCGAGGGTTGGACGGGTCCGGTTCGGGCCGGGCCACCCGCCCGGGTCACGGGTCGGGTCCGGTTCGGGCCGGGCCGGTTAATTTTTTTTTTATAATTTATATTTTATAGTTTATAGTTTTATACGAGTATTAAAAACAAACTTCAAGTGCATTTATTTGAAATGAAATAGGAACTACATTTGAAAATTAAAACAAACTTTAAGAGAAACATTTTGAAAATTGTAATCAATCGGAACTTCCCGCACCTCCCGATCCTTTAGCTTTGTCACATGACTTCATATGCTTGATTGTCATCCCGTATCCGCCTGAAACCTCTATGCTACATTTTTTCTCGCACCATTTGCAAATTGCGTACCACATCCCGGTCTTCGGGTCCTTCTGCTTATCAAAATTATACCGTATAATGGCATCTTGATTTTCCATCTTAACTTCTTAAGTATAAACTATAAAGTAGATATATAAATAATAAATATAATATATTGGAGAATAAGAGAATTAGAGAGTAGAGAGTTAAGAATAGGATTTAGGAAGAATTGGAGAAGAGATATGAAAAAATGTTTAAGATTAGGAGTATTTATAGGTTTTTTTACCCCCCACCCCCCACCACCACCCAACCCCCCCGGACCCCCCCTTTACCCCACCCAACGGCTATATAGCCGTTTGGGTTGTCCCCAGCCCCACCCCCAACGGCTAGTAGCCCACTAGCCAAGAGCCCAAGACCCAAATTTTTTTTTTTTTTAAATTAAGACCGGGCCCGACCCGGTCGGGCCGGGTCACATTAATCCAGCACCGAGCCCGCCCCGCCCATTCCCACCGGTTTGGGTCCATACCCGGTCCCGGACCGCCCGACCGGGCCGGTCCCGGACCGCCCGACCGGGCCGGTCCCGGACCGCCCGACCGGGCCGGTCCCGGACCCGCACAGTACCGGGCCGGGCCGGGTCACGGGCCGGGTGGCCCGAACCGAATCCAACCCTAGTGACAAATAAGGATTTATTTTTAAGAGGATTGCTTTCCTTTTATTAAATGAAAGCGTCATATGGAGCATGTCTATTTCCATCACAAATTTGATAATGAAGCTTCAAACATAGGCCTAGTGCCTAAGTCATAAATAACATGATTTAGAGTTTAGACCTTAAATGAAGCAATTCTAGTGCATTGTCCAGGATTAATGGCGTGTTTAAACATGAACATTTTAAACTATTTTCAACATGCCTGTTCAGGAACGTGAACTTCAAACTCATAGGTACAACAGCGAGAACAAATAATTCAATTTACAAGAGAAATATAATTGCAAAGCATGGAAAGGAACCATATTCACACAATCAAATATATGAATACTGAACAGAAGTACAGAACTATAATAAATAGAAACAGGAAACCATAAAGTAGCCTTTATGGTCCAGCCCTATCCTCACTTCCCCTGCACCACAAAGTAGCCTTTATCTTCATCATAAGATTCATAGCCTTCATTTTATAAATAGAAATTAGTTCAAATAGGACTAAAACTATGCCAAAAACCTAAAATAGGACTTGCTATGTTTTTATTCCAAAATAGGATCATATGAATCCTATTGGAAACATACCTATTTTTGCATTCCATTCTTACCCTTCCATTAAATATGAATTAAAAATAGTCAAAAGCCATAATTAAATGTTTAATTCATAATAAATTCGGAAAAAATTCAAAAATTCGTAGAAATATAATTAAAAAATTTATAAAATTTTTATAAAATAAAAAATTCAAAAACCTTTTTTTAAAAAAATAATTTTATTTTTAAAAAAATTCATAAAAAATAGTAAAACTCCGTAAAAAAAATTTAAAAAAATATGGATGCCTTTCCCACCGCCTGTACTACCTCCCAGCACCACCACCTCCGGCCGATGAAAAAAATGCCATTTTCCCAGAAAAATGCCATTTTTTTCTGAAAATGCCAAAAAAGTGGCATATTTCTCTTTTCGAATGCCAACATTTTCATTTTTTCTGCCATAAATATGGCATTCGTAATGAACTTGGCATTTTTTTCCCTGGTGACTGGAGGTGGTGGTGCTGAGGCGGCAGAGGCGGCGACGATTTTTTTTTTTGAGTTTTTATTTTTTTTTAATTTTTTTTTTAATTTTTTAAATTTTTTTAATTTTTTGAAAAAAAAATTAATTAAATTTTTAATATCGAAATGTTTTTCTTAATTTTTTAGTATTTTTTACGAATTTTTATTATTTTTTATTATTTTATTAGGAATTAAAACATTTTAATAGCTATAAGGGTATAATTGTCCAAGGTACACATAATTAGTCCTATGCAGACATAGTTTATTTTTTGGTCCTATTTGTGAAAAGTGAATGACTTTTAGTCCTATTTTGATAATTAACTCTTTTATAAACCAAATGCTGCCTGTCTGTTCAATGGGCAGTTTACCTTCCACTCTGTCACACATTGACATCAGGTGGTAATAGCTGCATCAATGACCATAATACATCCATGCGATGTACTATTTGATTTTCCTGCCCCTAGAGAATAAGCTCAAGTCATTTTGGCTTTACAAAAACATGGCTATGGCCGTGCATTGTGCATGATAAGATGAGTAATCAAACTATTATATGTTAGTTCTTTATCTTTGTATTTGTTCAATGTAAAAAGATTTAACAGAAACAAGGGGAAAGAACTTCAATAATTTAGGAGCGGTGGACACCAAGTGTGAGTTGTTTAAGTATCCCTAATTCCCTACGACAATCACACCATAGATATAGGGATGGTACCTCAACCACAAAGCGCATGAGTGTCTTCTCGCCATAAGACTCTGCTACTCCTTTCAGTATAGCAAGTTCCAAGCTCCTGATGGCCTCGGCGATCTCAAGAAAGTGGCTGCAGTCTTTCAATAGCATCTGTATTCATTTTCATGTAAAATATATGAAAATGAATGAAGCTAAAAAAATACTGTATACACTATATGTAGATATCGAGACCATCTAACCATACCTCAACTAGCATGTGACCATTTGTGTTAAGATTTTCTACCATTATAGGGCAAACTCTCAAGTTACTACTCCCCACTTCCACTGCCCAACTTGAACCTTGCTCCTCCTTACACGAAGACCCTTTGTGGGTAACTGATTCCTTCTCAAGCAGCCACTGCAATCATAGAAAGTTGAAAATGCAGAGACACTGAAATTTCTAAGTCTGCATAGTATCAGGACCAAAAAAGCAATTTATTACCCATCAAAGGTTATACATAAGTAGGTAATGCTGTATACTTTATGCTTACCTTTGATACAGTACATTTATCTAGCATTTCATCATGCTCCGTAACACTTTGCATGTAAAGCACATGCTTAATCGCCCGCTCCAGAAGTGAATCGATACTGCACTGTGAATTATTATGATCCCCAAAAAAATCTGTAAGAAACAGAACATTCCGCAAAGTATAGAACAACAAGCTGTGAGAAATTAACTACCTTTGAACCATTAGGCACCAGGTCCCGCAACTCCTTAATGCGTTCTTGAATAAGTTGTCTATCTCTTGGCCTAGGCCGACAACTCTCGCCAGGTTTAGCCCTCCGTTTACTAGTTCTTCTAATTGTTTCTTGTTGTCTTTCCAGATACGCCCCTGACGAGTTGGACGAATATACCGCGGAACTTATTGTGCCCTTATCACTGCTGCAAGGTTCTGCCTTTTCAACAGATCTAGCATCACTCTCTTGCCAACAACTAAGATTTCCCACCACTGCTTCCAAGAGTTGATCTGTCTTGCTCTCACTCAGTAACAGACTGCTATCACCCGTTTCGGCATTTTCTGATTCCCAGAGATTGGCAATTCTACCCTTTTGAAAAGCAGGTCCTAATGCTTCATATAGCTCACATCCAGCATAGTAGTAGCTTAAAGGAGTCTGATTTGTGTCCAAATCATTAGAGTGGAATGAGTTCTTATCTAAATCTTTATGTAAACCGGCACTGGGAAGAACCGGCAAGGACCATGATGCATTTGGATCACTAGCATCATACTTGAGAGTTTTGTTATTATCTTCTAAGAATGACTCTCTTAAGTTGATAGCTTCTAGTTTGCTCATTGTAGGAATGGTTTCCTGCACCTGTCCTTCACTTTTATGCCCCATGATGAAACTTTCAGAAATTGGTGCCCCAGGATTACCTTCACTCTTGTTGGGAACTTCAAGAATTTTTATATTTGTGTAAGTTGAAGGATAAGATACACTACGGGAATGATGAGCGTGTGTTCCATGTCCAAGAGATGCATATTTAGAAGAGAGAATATTCGTACCTCTTTCCTTACTTCTGTCTTGATGATTATTAATGCAATTAAGATAGGTAGTTGAGGTTCTAGTGGACACATCTGACTGGAAAAAATAAAAAGCAGTATTATATTTGATGGAATGAATTAATTGCAACTTCCACTTCTAGTCCTGGGACATTAGGTCATTTCCATTTTATCATTGGCATTCATCTTTTTCCCTTTTGGTGCACGGCTAAGGCTTGACCCAGCCCGCTTCCTGGTATGGGTAAGGGAGGAACCAGAACCCTAACCGGGTAAATTAGTTCTGGGTTTTTGACCTATTTCCAAAACAGAAAAAGGAACCAGAATCGGTCAGTTGTGGTCCTATTTTGGATGAACTGGAACAAATTCCAATCCACAACTAAAAAACAGGTTCAGGTTTGGTCCTTTTACCCACACGGTTGCAATCTGGCATGGTTCTGCAACTGGGTCCAGCCTCATGCAATGGGTTTATTGCCTTTTCTTATCTTATCAAGTCATTTATAGAGTTATACTCCCTCCGTCCCATAATTAACTTCGATTTTGACTGGGCACGGGGATTAAGATAGTGGGATTTGTGTGGTGGAGAGTTGTGCAGAAGAGAGAAAAATGTGTAAGAATGATTCTGAACCACATATTCTTTATCAAAAAGGAAAGAGAAGATAAATTTGGGACGGACCGAAAAGTAAAGAATGAAGATAATTTCGGGACGGAGGGAGTAATAAATTGGAACCTGGGTTGTTAAGTGCCCAGATGGAACAAAAGTGACCCAAAAAAATCCATTGACATGCATAGAAGGCGAAAAACATGAAAGTCATGGAATGAAAGTGAAAGCACTATTACACTTAAGTAAGGAGAGAACTATTTTACATTTTTACCATACAAGAAGGCTCCACATTATTCCACTGAATGCTACCTTGCAAGTGAGAACCACCAATAGAATTGTGGACCTCCGAGAAAACATGCCTCATGTGGTTGATCATCTTCATATCCTCAGGAATCTAACAAAAATAATTGAGTAAAGAAAATATGTAAAAAAACACTCGTTGATATCAAAAGGCCAATCGATAGAAATAAATACTTATTACAAACATCAATGCAATGGCCTCTGTTTCTTCAGTAATTAATCAGACATTAATGAAGTGCATATGATTCCACAATACTCTCCAGACTCACTATTTTTTGACTTGAGAAATGATATAATAAAGCAAAATGGCTTCTTTGCTGTGAAGTAGTAGTCAGTTTATGCAATTTTTGACGCGATTTTAACCATGGGTCATTCGGAAACAATCTCTCTGTACTTTAGTACAAGGGTAAGGCCGCGTACATCCTACTCCCCTTACCCCACCATAGGTGGGAGCCTTTGCGGCAGTGGGGCTGTGGGGTAATGATGATGATGATGACATGATTCCACAATAGTAGAGAGAAATATTTACAATTTTATACACAAATTCTTGCATCCTCCAAAGATCCTAACTGTACAACTCCAAGAAGACCAACTGCCACAACAACTATGGTCTGCAATGCCAAAAAAACATATTAAGCAAATCTCTCTCTCAGAAAGAGAAATGGAGAAAATGGTCATGAATAACAATATAAATGGCTAACCTTAACACCAGCGGAAAACTGAGGTTGCCATCTATTATCTCCATACTGAATTCAAAAATAAAGCATGCAATCCATGCATGAATACCATTTGCACACATTTTAATATACACTTTCATAAAAACAATTAGGAAGTTATGTGTTTCACCTGGAATGAGGAGCTTGGGTTAACTGCCCATTTATCAGTAGAAATCCACAAATATTTACCAGTAACAGCCACTTGTCCTACAATCCTTGTCAAGATAATAAATCTTATGAGATGAAAAAATTAAATAAAAAAAATATGACATCCAAAGAGTTTGTAAATATTGTCAACTTAGTTCACAGCTTGGAACTTTATGTCATTATTATTCTGATTTTGGAAAAAAAAATATCCTACCAATATAAGCATCAGCTTTCCAAAAGAAAATTATAAATAACGGTTTTTCCTACAATAGTATTACTAAAAACAAAACTCTTAGATAATTATGACTACACAGTCATTGCACAATGTCAACATGGTCATTGCACACTAATATGAAATTTTATTATACGTCACAAAAAACTTTGTCACTTTCTTTTTTAATCAATTATTTTGTAGTTTTTGTTATTTCTCTCTCCTCTGCGCAAACCTCAACCACACAGTTTTTACTTTATTATTCTCCGTGCCGGTCAACTTTGGCAAAGTTTTAAGAGACGGAGGTAGTATTACCTTGAATGAGACTAAATTATTACTGAAATTCCTAAATGGGACTATGCATAATTTTTTTGCTAAATATGACTGAATTACACATTTAGCTTTTTCTTTCTTTTTCTACGCCGGGTACGAGCATCTCCTCCCCTGCGCACCTTCTTATCCCTTCCCCCTACGCACTTCTTCTCTACACATCCCCTCCTTCTCCACACATCCCTTCCCACAAATCTTCTTCTCTCCCCGCACATCTTCTTCTTCCCCTCCCCCTAAGCACCTTCTTATCCCTTCCCCACACATCTCTTTCTCCTTCCCTGCAAATCTTCTTCTTCTCCTTCGCACAGCAACAACCAAACCTAGAAGCCCAATCATAGCCATCGTCGTCGTCGATGTGAAGTCCGCTGTCGTCGTCGCCGGAGGTCTTCTTCTCTTCTTCGAAGGTCTGATTCTCTTCTCTGATTGTTATCCCTGTTTTCCTCCCCTCTTCTGTTGTTCTCTCTTCCCCTGTTGTTGCAGATGCTCTACTTCTTCTTTGATTGGTAAAAAATGCTAAATTCCAACTCTGAAAATGCCAAGTTCAACTCTGAAAATGCCATCAAAATGGCATTCTTATTCTACAAAAAAAATTGTATTTTTCTTTCAAAATGCCATTAAGATGGCATTCTCGAATCATTTTGGCATTCGCGCCGGCATCGGCTAGATCTACAACGACAGAGGCCATATTTGCAATTGCAGTTGCCGGATTAGCTGTGACGGTGGCTGGTTGGCCGCCGGCGGTAACCGGCGACCGGCGGCGGTCTGGGGTTTGTCGGCAATTAATTCAAAAACCAATTATAGCCTAACAACTCCATTTAGACTTAGGAGTGGACTCGGGCCGGGCCAACCGGCCCGGAACCGGACCGGACCGCTACTTTGCGGGCCCGGACCAGCACGGTGAATCGGTTGGTGCCCGGTTCGGGCCACCCGGCCCGGTGAGGTAGGCGGGCCAGACCCGGGCCTCCTGAATCGTGAACCGGCCCGGCCGGTTCGGGCTCGGTCCGGGCCAAATTATTATTTTTTTCTTTTTTTTTTTGAATTTTTTTAAGTTTTTGGGTTGGGCTGGGTATGATGGGCCATTTGAGGTGGTTTGGGGTGGTTTGGGCGTGAGGGGGGGTTGGGGGTTAATTAGGAAAAGCAAAAAAAAATACAAGAATCGAGGCCCGCCCCGGCCCGGACCTGGGGTTACCCGGGCCGGTTCCGGGCCTCCCCTTTCATGAACCGAGGCCCGGCCGGGCCCGAACCGGAACCGGTCCACCCCTATTTAGACTCAAGAAAAGTCCTATGATTAAATTTTGAAAAGGTCACCTTCAAAGAAGCAGCATGAATTGCTGATCACCAAACGGGCATCATAGAGTTTATATTGACCATTAAGGTCAGTGTACTCTTTACCACATCATCAAATTCAAAATAGTCGAAAAGTCTCTTCGATCGCTGGTCAGACATTATAAAGTTCAACCAAAATAAAGCGAAATTTTTGCTAAACATATGAGAGTTTTAAGGCATATAACGACTATAAGTACCTCAAAAAACCCACTAACACAAACTAGTCAAAAACAAAGTAGCAGTCTAAAGATACTTGAATATAACTTGAAACAAATATAGAGCAATAAACCGTGTGTAGCCAAATCTGAACTTGAAGCGGCGTCTTCTAAATCCTAACCACACAATCTCTCCATGGTGGTGGTTCGAGACAGAAACGGACCTGCAATACTACATTTCTTTCTCACTGCTCATTTTTTATCGCATTCTCTGTCATACTCATTGGCGGATCCACTAAGGGTCCCACGGGGGTCCCGGGACCCCATGGACCTCCAAAAAAATACCTATATATATTTGTATATATTTTATATAAAATTAGGGAATAAGTATTTATACAATCAAAACTGGGTAAGAACACAAATATGGAGCTAGAGCAATGGTAGGAGGCCCAATTCCAAGGCTTTGTACGTGCGGAGGTTGACCGATCGATTTCCCCAGGCGTCCACTCTTTTGGAAATAAAATTATGCCCACTTTTTTGTACGTGCGCACCACCTATATCCTATTGCCCATTTTTTTTAATAACAAATACTACTAAATTTGTCCCCGAATTTCAACTTATCTGTTTTATAAACTAATTTGGTCATGGAACACGTAATTCTTGAATTCACATACTAAATTTGTAATAATTAAAATAAGCAAGTTAAAAACATTTTTTCGGCAAGATGACTGAAGGTACCGTAAGAGCATCATCTTAGCCACTTTTTCATAAGACTTTTGTTGAGTTTTAGTCCCGTTGATCCGAAAGCCCAACATAACTTTGGATATTCAGGATCATAGATTCGGTATAAATCTGAATATAAAATATAAAAGTGTATAAACTAGCTATTTTTACGTGGAAACCCGGAAAGGGAGAAAACCACGGGACTTTTTAGGCTAACGTCCAAGCCCGCTCTTTCTCATTAACATGCTCTCCTCACTCCATTACATAATACATAGGCTGAAGCCTCCATTCATGGAGCTTCATTTGCTAGCTACAAAAGAGGAAGAAGAAAACAGTAAGGGGAGGAGGAGAAGTTTCCCACGAGAGAAGAGCCAAAAAAGCCCTCCTTTTACATGGAAGCAATGCTTCCTATTTATAGAAGGGGGGTGGGGGTTTACTCTTATGGGCCAGCAGGCCGGTTGGGCCTTAATGGGCCCAATTCCTATCCTAGCGGGCCGGTTATGCCGAAGACGGGCCGGGTAGGCCTAAATGGGCCTTGCTGACCGGGCTTCATACCGGGTGATGACTTGGGCCTCTGAACAGTAATAGGCCGGGATAATATTCCCCAACACAAGTCCCCCAGTTTCTTGAGTAGTGAGCTTGCAAATCTACTCGAGGAAGTATACTCTTGCTCGCGCCCTTTTCTGCCATCCCTGAATCAGTCTTTGAATAATCTTGGGCGCAAGGCATGCATAATCCATAAGTGAGGTGCAATCCCGCACTAGGCACGACGGCGCTGTAGAGCATGTCGCTCGTGTTGCATAATAAGTGACGCTCGCCATCCTAGATTAAGGAATCGACAAGCCTGATAAAAAAGAAGGCACGACGGCGCTGATAAGCCAGTCGTTCATGCTGCATAAAGCGACGGTCGACATCCTAGAACAAGGATGGACGAGCTCGACC